AGATCGAAAAGACAGGGGAGAATGGTCAGGGTGCTTCAACAACGTAGGTAGCTATCCCACAAAAAATTTTCCACCCCCTGTGATTTCGACCAATAAAAATTCAGGATCAGGTGTAACGTGATGGTCAAAACAAATGCGTATAAAATCAAAGCCGCATTATAGTTAGGGTTAGAGTAAGAACAGCATAGGATATGGGTTTGGGTTGTTTTATTAGTAAAATTTCACGAGGAACATTTTTAATTAGGCCGTAAAAGGTTGTTTCATAATTAAAATTTAAAGCTATTTTTGTTTTTTTGTAAAAAGTGGGTTCGCTTCGATTTTTACGTTACACCTGATCCTGAAATTCGATTGGCCAATATTACAGGGGTGGAAAATTTTTTGTGGGATAACTAGGGCTTTTATGTTGTACCCTAATTGCCATGCATTTCATATGAAAAATGATCTATGGTACGTACGTACGTACCTCTACACTTAAATTAAATTCTGTCGATTATTTCTGAAATACACTACTTTTAGTAAGCCCTTAATTCAGTTAAATGGCCTAAGTTCATTTAGTTAAAAGTCGAAAATTTCGTCTCGCATTGTGTAATATCTTAAAGTATATAAAATTAAAATAAAAAAATTTAATCAAATAGTTATTAAAAAATCTTTTTTAATTTTAAATTTATCTTTGGCTGGCTATTTTTTTTTAGAAGTTTGTATTACCAGAGCAAATAAATAAAGCTCGTACGTACGTACATACGTAAGCACGCACACTAAGCAAGCCACAGTCATCTAAGCCCGTCCTAAGCCTTTTTTGTTGGCCATATTGAGGTGTTATCATTGCACAACACTACTGTACTATCGCTATGCAATTTCCAGTACAACAAAAATATACAGATTTATTGTTTATCATTTTTTTAGCAATAAAAAATGTACGTACGTACGTACGTACTTCCACAATGTTCTAACCAAATATATTTGTTTAATATCCCCGAAAATTATATTGTACATTATATTTAGCCTCAAAAAATTACGGAGTCACCAAGGTATCAAATTAATTTCAAATCAACGAAGATAATCAGTATACCTCAAAAGGACATTTGCTAATCTTTTACGTTATCTGACATTTATAATTTTTTACTATGCAATATGCTAAAGTATATGGTATACATTTTATGGATGCTTATCCTCTTTAGTTTAACGTTTCTCTTAATAATTTCAAACGAGCTTTATGTAATCACGGAGAATTTGGAGGATCATACGAATATAAAAAGTGTGGACCACGCAAAACTAGACAATACGATTATAGAGAAAGCAACGATTATAGAGAATGTAATATTGGATGCAGTAGAGGAATATTTAGATTTCGATATAGTATATAATGAATATGTTAAGAAACATAATAAAATAGTTGCTGAACTATTAAAGCCATCTGCTAATTTATCAGAACTTCCAAAAGTTGTAGTTGTTATACCGGATATGAAGACAGGGTATGGAAACCGTCTTCCTGGAATAGTTTGTGGTTTTTTATATTCATTAATTACCGATAGGCTATTTTTTATTTGGGGATATCATAATTTTGAAGATTATTATGAGAAAGATTTCAATCATGATTGGAACACTGTTATAAACTTATATAAAAATAGTACTTATAGATATATACATTATCTTAATCAATTTAATGATTTTCAATTGGTGACGAGAGGAAATCTTAGCACTGAGGAAATAACTTCACACAATATTTTATATGTTTACACATGGGATTACGCATGTGTTCCAATAACGTCAAATCCTCGTTATAAGAAATGGTTTGATAAAATAATACCTGATTATAGAGTTTTTACAACAATCAGTCTAAAATTATTAAGATTACACCCAAACATCAACCAAAAAGTAGAGACTTTTGCAGATAATAATTTTGGTAATTATACCATAGGAATTCATTTAAGAAAGAAAAAAGTATTAGACGATATGATAATGCCTGTAGAGCATTACAAGGAGGTAATAAACATGTTGGTGATGGGGATGAAAAACATGAATATATCTATCTTTGTGGCTGCAGACAGTAATGATGGTCGCGAAGAATTGATAAATTCATTTCGTGAAGTATTTAATCCTCATAGTAATAATTCTATTAAGATAGTTCATACTGGAGAAAATATGGATTTACGAAATCCAGTTAGTTGGAACACTGGTTCAGAAGTAGGGGCTCTTATAGATATAAAGCTACTTGGTTTATGTGATGACTTGGTGATTACATATAGTTCTTCATTTGGTTTTCTTGCAGCAGGATGGTCTCAAAAAGCGTCACGTCTAAGAGGACCATTTGTTGTAATGCCTATAAGTGATTCAGATGATTTATGGCTTGTAGATAAAGTTTGGATGTGGGGTGCTATATCAAATGAGCCGTGTATGTATTTAAGCAAGGAGCTAATGGAAAATGAAGATGAGGAAACTATTGCAGTTTTTAAAACTAATCCGTTATGGATGCATTATAGTCAGTGTCATTGGCCTGGATAGATAGTTTAATATTAAAAATTTTTTTCCATGTTTCTTACTGAGGAATGTCAAGATTCTTGCTGTTTTTTTAAAATGACATTATTAGCAAAACTTTTTTTATTAATAAAACTAGTGCGATAGGTGGCGCGAAGCGCCACCCATCTTATTTGTTTAATCAAATTACTGTTAAAGATTTACAGAATTCATTATTTATTGCAATATGCGCGATATGTAATTAAATTTTAATAAGTTTCATCAGAATTATTTATTAATGTGTGTGGTTACGGTTGAGTTAGCATTAGATTGTCAATTTTTACCATAATTTGAAAATTTCTATTATAGAACTTGCTATTCAGTGATCACAGTATGTGGCCGCAGTTGAGTTTATTACATTAGAATTATCATTACGATTAATAACATGTTATCTTGAAACACAATTGTTAAGGTGAATAGAATTAAACTTCATACTCACGTTGGTAATTACGGTTAATCAATGTCTTGTAACAATCGTTAGAGCGAATCGAATTAAACTTCATACTCACCCCGGTAATTTATTTGAACGTTTAAATGATTACGGTTAATGACACGTTCTCTTGAAGCACAATTGTTAAAGCAAATCGAATTAAACTTCGTACTTACCCTGGTAATTTATTGGACGATTGAATGATTACAATTAATCAATGTCTTGAAACACAATCGTCAAAGCAAATCGAATTAAACTTCATCCTACCCTGGTAATTTATTTGAACGATTAAATGATTATAGTTAATCACATGTTCTCTTGAAACTCAATCGTTAAAGCAAATCGAATTAAATTTTGTACTCACTCTGGTAATTTATTCAAATGATCGAATGATTATGATTAATCAATGTCTTGAAACACAATTGTTAAAGTGAATCGAATTTTACTTCATACCCACCCTGGTAATTTATTTGAA